ACATCCACTAGCGCGCGAAGAGGAATTGGCAGGTGTTATCTCGCGAGAACGCGCGAGAAGCAGCTGGACAAAGTGAATTACATTGGCGATGTCATTTTATACGTTGTCGGCGTATCAATGTTTAATGCGCGACGTGGCGGCAGCGGGACGGAGGTAATCTGCCCCGACATGCAATTACACCCCCTGAGAGGAGATCGACAGAGAGAGAGAGAGAGAGAGAGAGAGAGGGAGAGAGAGAGAGAAAGAAAGAGAGAGGGAGAGCGAGAGGGAGAGAGTGAGAGAGAGAAAGAGAAGAGAAAGGCTATCGAAAACAGCTAAGGGGTTTGATTATTTTTTTAATGTTGCCTATACGCACACTGAGAGTACATTCTGTGGGGTGTTGCTATCCCCCGGGCGTGGAGGGAGGTCACGTGATAACGTTGACGATGACGTTCAAAACGTTAAACCTAACGGTAACACTCACTTCAACACCGACAACACTAATCATCACACTAAATATATATGTATCGCCGCGCTATATATAGGCATTGTTATCCACAAAAATTAATCTATGGTGTGGGGACAGATATCATGATGCAAAAACCTTAACCCTAACCCTAATCCTAACCCTAACCCTAACCCTAATCCTAACCCTAATCCTCACCCTAACCCTAATCCTAACACTATCCCAACACTAGTGCTGCCACGTTGCGGTCACCTCCCTCCACGCCCGGGGGATAGCATTACCCCATTCGGTGCACAGTGCGTGGATCGTACACGAAAGGAGAGCGCCCTCTGGTGGGTATTTGTCGCTATTAGCAACGATAGACAACAACAGGGAAGAGCTTATAGGAAGACCTTCTGCAGACATGAATGACATTGTCGCCACCACTACCACCACCTACAACAACAACAATGATGACGACGACGACGACAACAACAACAACAACGACGACGACGACGACGACGACGACGACGACAACAACAACGACGACGACGACGACGACAACAACAACAACAACAACGACAACAACAGCGACAACAACAACAACGACAACAACAACGACAACAAAATCATCATCAACGTCAACAACAGCATTGCCGACGAGTAAACGCAGACACCGGCCCCGGCGCATGCGCAGTCCCGTCACCGGCTGCTACATCAACCGCTCGCGCGCGTTCGTCTGCGTTATTTACGCACGCTGCCGTAGCAGGCAGCAGCCGATCAAAGGTCGCGCGTCCTATATATGCCGCCGCTTCGCAGACGAGCTTTGTTGCACGGAGCCGTGTACGCCACAGCCACTCGAAATGTTTCAATAGTAAAACGATGGTAAATAAACACGAAATGTATTTACTGCCAAACTCATAATGTTTCTCCGCGCTCTCTTTCGCCTATGATTACCGATACTTAATTTTCTTGTAAATGCCGTTGAAATGCTCCTATAGTGAATAAACTTTTCGCGTTTATTTACCATCGTTTTTACTATTGAAACGTTGCAAGTGCTTGTGCATGGTGTGCACGACAGTACCTCCACGCTACTAGACACTCCATCGTGAACACAAACACACACACGCACGCACGCACGCACGCACGCACACACACGCACGCACTCACACACATAAACACGCACACACACACACACACACACACGCACGC